CCCTGTGCTGTGTGCTGCTGGGTTGCATATCTATTGTCCTGACTCCTCAACTCCATTCCCCCCCGCCCGCCACCCTCAATCAGCGCACTGTCTGCCCGGGCCGCGTGGCCCTGTCAACACTTGGTAACCTTTTTGCCCCTCGGCTCACCATATCTTTGGATTTGGCTGGCTACTGGCTAATCACTGATCTTACTGCGTAGTTGAATCGGCCATTATCTCTCATCTCCTGACCGTTCGATATCGGCCCTTATTCAACCCCTGTTGTTTGTTTCCCGAGCCTCCTACCTGCTCCAGTCAGCGTCCACTGTTTCAATCTCCCACGCGCGCTGGCTGGCTCCTATCGTGACTTGCATATGTGTTCAGAACACATTCCCCTTCACATCTGATCGTCATTGGATGATTTGTTTTCTCCAAGAAGTCGGCCTCATCCCACATTACCCGGCCCCGATAGCCATTCAACTCCAAGCTCGACCCGCGTAGCTTAACCCCGTTATTGCAATCGCTGTCGTTCACAAGCCGGTGCCATCTGTCTCCTCTGCGACCCCCACCAGACCACTCTCTGCTTTGTGCTCTTTTACACACATCGAACGTCTTTTCTGGAGTGCGACTCCTTTCTTTTGGCTATGGACAGCTAGCATTGACAATAAAATTCCAAAAAACACGCCCGTTGGTTGAAACATCGAATTGAGGGTTCAATTTGGACGGATATTACATTCAAAACCCGCTTCACAAAATCGTCCTGATAACGGTTGTTACGTCCGGAAGCACAGATTGTTCTCTCACGTCCCTCGCAATGACCTCAACGAAATCCCCACCTGTATCCCCTCCTTCCGGGGCGGACAAAACCTCCTCAATCCCAACGATATCTCACCACCCGTCACATACAATATCACCGGCCCCCCGACGGTCGAATATCCAACGGCCGTCCTCATATGCGAAAAATCGCTTATCGACCTACTCCAGCACCTCCTTTACGTCTCAGAACCGTTCTCGACCCCCTTCACATATTTTCCCAGGTTTTCACTCGAGTCTGCCTTACGCCTTAGTAAGGGACTTTGCCTACCCACCAATACACCCACTGCATTATGGGCCCCACCCGAGCGAATCTGGAATATCGACTCCGATGAGCGAAGCCAGACGTCTATCTGACCCTCCCAGCGCTTCTTGGGATGTTTCTCGCGGCCATTGGCATTCTCCATGGAACCCGGAAGCCATGTATGGTACCCAACAGCTCCCTGCAATGGCGTTTGGAGATGGTCCACCATACAGCGAGGATGAGGACTTGCACAGCCCTGTTGTGACAACGTCCCGGCATCGCAAACACAAATCTGCGCATTTAGGGTCCGATTTTAATAGAGGGAGAAGTCCTGGCATTGCGAACGATGCTGACCCGTCGTCAGATTCTGTGCGAAGTGATGATCGAGGAGTTTTCGTCGGATTAAATGGGGATGGAAGCGCAACATACTATGTCAAGGACGACGACGCAGTTGACGATGGTCCTGGAGGAGAATATGTTACGTACCCGGCTAACGATGGGAATCGCTCGTTCTTAAGCGCGGACTCATATCCACCTGGCGGTCACAGAGACTCCCACTTTGCCGCGTCATTGCATGGCCGAACGGCAATGGAACCTGACATGGAATTCCAATCTGACGACGAGATATCGGAGGATGATGAATCGTGGAGAGATGCGTCCCGCTATTCGCGAGATTACAAATTTACAATTGTTTCACCTGATGAAGAAATGCATGGCAAAGCTGTTGCGCTTTTCGATTTCGATCGCGAACATGAGAACGAATTGCCATTGAAAGAGGGACAGGTGATTCTAGTATCTTATCGTCATGGACAAGGCTGGCTCGTTGCGGAGGACCCTAAGACTGGAGAAAGTGGGCTTGTACCAGAGGAATTCGTCCGGTTGGTTCGTGACATTGAAGGGGGATTGAACGGCCTGAATGGTGCTCTTCTGAATACATCGACAGGGGGCGAACATGCAGAATCTACTCCTACCCAAGATGAAAGTCCTAATGTCCTGCCCACCGACAATTCTTCACCAGATATGCCTCCTCGACAACAGCAACAACAAAGCAACGGCGCCACAATTGCAACAAATCCTACTGCAGACGAGAATGTCAACCCTAACAACCATCACGAGTCATCGTCGCAACTTACATCAACATCCGTGAATGCAAATGTGTCTACGAGAGACAAACAACCCAAGGAGCGCGAAAAGAAGCAGCCCCCGGTCGTTTCCATGTTCTCCACGAGCAGTCGTGATCTGGATCCGTACCCGCTAGCGGGCCATCGGCATCGGAAATCAACGCCGCCACAAATCGAGCATTACGATGGCACTAACTTAAGCACAACGGGCGGCGTGCGCTCGTCATCCGTGCGCCCGAAGAGTTCTTCCAAGCATAGAACACGATCAGGGTCGGGGAAGGATGTGAAGCCTTGAAGCCGGGCTTTTCATTTTATTATTTTTCCACCTGGGAAATTTGTCCCTTTCTTCCATCACTTTTCATCCACTAGTATGTTTTCTCCGGTATTTTCTTTCTTTCTTTCTTTCTTTCTTTCTTTCTTTTTTTTTTTTTTTATGTGTTTAACCTGATTTTAGCCGGGCTTCGATGCTTATTCGGAGTCAGTTAGAAAACGCCTCTTTTCTGGATTTTTTTATTCCGCGCAAACAGTCTGGTCCCCACTGCGTCTCATGATTTGTCTTGTTCTCCTTGTTTTTCTCAATCAATTTGTTATCGTCGCGCGGTGAACCCAATTACGAAATACATCAAGTGTTTTTCCATAATTTTCATGTACCTTTTGTGTTCTGGCTTGTATGCTTGCCTTGCGGAGCTAGACCTTTTCCTCCCCCACTTTTTTTGTTGTTGTCGGTTTTCTTTTCTTTTCTTTTCTTTTCCTTTTTAACCCAATTTCCTGTTTCTTAATTGCTATTGTTTATTACGACGACCTTCCCATTCAGCCTTTCAAAAAGGGTAGAACGAAGCATTCTACCTTTTTTGATTTTTGATCCTCTTTTCAGTCTCAAGAAGGCAGCTCAATACCAACAGCTTTTATTAACAGTTTTTGTTTTCTTCAGGCATGAAACTAAAAGTAAAAAAGGAAAAAATTGGATTGGGATGAATCGTTGTTGTGAACCTTTTCTTGTTGGTTGAAATTGGGATATTTTTCAGTCATTCCGTTTCTTTCCTCTTTCCTCTGATTACCCCCGTTCTTGACCTTTTTTCCCCTCCTGTTGACCGGTTTTCTCCTTTTCTACTCTTTCTAACATTTCTTTTCTTTGGCTTTTATTCTTTGTTGTCAGAGTCAAATTCAAATCCATCAAGGCCAAGCGCAGCTTTTGCTGATGTCCAGTTTTTTTTTTTTTTTTTTTTTTTTTTTTTTTTTTCTTTTTCTTTTTCTTTTTCTTTTTTTCTTTCCATTTCTGCTCTTAAGTGCGCACACCCACCCACCCGCTCTCCTCCCTCAACTCACTCCGGAA